TTGTTGTTTGGGCCAAGGAGTTGGTTTTGTCTCGGGGCCCTCGTGGGACAGAAGGGAGCTCCGCTGTTCTCATGCTGGGTCTACCGCTGCAGCCACTGTGTCCATCCACATCATTTGGCTCCCCCTCCACTTTGCCCCATTGTGACATCCTTCGCCAGGGAGGGGTCTGCCTTGACCACATGCCCACAGTGCCTGAGACGCAGTCTTGCCGTCCTTGGCTCTGAGGAACATTCTGGTTGTACTTCTTCCCGGACAGATGTTTGTTCTTTTGGCCCTCTGTGGTACTTTCAGTGTGCTTCGCCAGCACCATGGTCAACATGCATGGACTTTTCTTCAGTCTCCCTCCTCCATGTCCACCTTGCGTATGCAGATGCAGCAGTGGTACGTCAACAATGGCGCAGACTTTCCCTGACCGGCTAAGATGGCGGTTCTCAACCTGGGGGTCGAATGACCCTTTCTCAGCGGTTGCCTAAGGCCATCGGAAAACACATAAATATTTTACAATTTTTAATGACATATTGTCTTGTGATTTAATCACTATGCTTTAATTATGTTGGATTATGTTCAATTTGTAACAATGAAAACACATCCTGCATCTCAGATATTTACAAGATGATTCATCACAGTAGCAAAATGACAGTGATGAAGAAGCAACGACAATAATGTTAGAGTTGGGGGGTCACCACCACATGAGGACCTGCATGAAAGGGTCGCGGCAAGAGGAAGGTGGAGACGGCCGGGCTAAGAGAATGACCCGTTCATTCTGACGTCTCCTCCTGTGCCCTCAGAGCCTCAGTGGGCTCAAGAGGAAGAGAACTTGAAGGAGACCTGTTCCCTCTTCCCGACTCTTCCCAGTGTGTGCCCAGCGCTCCCCCGACAAATCTGGCTAGACCAGAGCATGTACATGGGCACAGATAAGAGCTCTTGACACATGGAATCCAGCACAGATAAACCCTCAGGAAGAGTAATGAGAGTAGTGATACCATAAGGGTAGGGGGAAGGTGGAGGGAGAAGTGGGAGAAAGGGGGGAACCAATTGCCATGATCAACATATAACCCCTTGCCCAGGGGAGACAGTGGATGATGTAAAATATGAAAATAATAATTTATAATTTATCAAGAGGTCAGGAGAGTGGGAGGGGAGAGGAGGGAGGGAAAAAAGAGGAGCTGATATCAAGGGCTCAAGTAGAAAGAAAATGCTTGGAAAATGAGGATGGCAACATATGTACAAATGTGCTGGATACAATTGATGTATGGATTGTTACACAAGCTGTAAGAGTCCCCAGTTGAATTACATATATGCTATGAGTTACTAACCGACTGAGTTGACACTCTTTCTGGTCAGCTTTGTCCGTCACAAACCCTACGCTATGACGTTTGCGTGTTTGTAGACTCGGTCAGTCCCAATCGGAGGCAGCGAATCTGTATTTGCTGAGTGTCTGATCGGAACCATCTTCCGCCGTGTCTCTCTTCTACCCTTGGGTATGGATCTAGACCAAACAGTCGGTGTGGTGATTCTAGCTTCTTTCGCTGTCGTGGTTTTGGAGTAGTGAGTTGCTTGCCGTCTGACCCAGATAGTCTGAGCATGACTGGACCTCTTCCTTGAAAGCAAAGCTAAGCTAGTTGCTTTAGACACTGCTGTCAAGCTCACGTGGTGATGCTGCCTGCCTCTTTTAATGGCTTGTTTGCAATATGGCCTCTTCCTACTTAGAAACTAACATCTGCTGAGCTTGCTTGCTGGGAGGCTCACTCTTAAGTTTTATAATGGCATTTGGCCAAAAGAAATAAAAATCGTTGCTGGCCTGAATTGAGTTGTCTTGATCCCTGAAGGTCGTTTGGGATATCTGCCTTCTTCGCTTGCGTTCATTGAGTATAGGGCGGAGAGGAGACCTGGTCTCTGGTTCCGCCATTCTGGGCAAGATCCCTAAAGCCCTTTGGGCCTCTTTAACTGCAGGATGGAAGATAAAGTATAGTGACTCCCTTATAGAAATGTGAAGATCGTTAATGAGTTAACTGTATCAATTAAGCAAGTTCCGAGAATGGAACGGTACCCGTAATGAGCACTCAATAGTTTATGTTATTATACTATCTTTACCGACTTCACAAACTACCCGGGGTCAGGGGTACCGTCTCTTTCTGCCGGAAGCCCATTCCTAGGAACCTGGACTTGATCCCCAAGAGCAGGGCATCGTCAAGGAGGGGGGCCCTGCCTTTGTTGTGGGGTTCCATTCAGAGCATCTCCTGTCTCCCACGGTGGGGCTTTGGTGGTAGCATTAGGGACCTACCCCTCTTTGAAGCACCTAAATCTAACAAGGTTTTCCCTGAATACACATATTTCAAAGCTCATTGGATGCGTGAGCAGACCTCACCCTCAGGAACTCAGGGCTATGTCGATACGTCAGGCCTTTGCAGGCGAGAACCTTCCCCGGGATGAACTAAATCATTCGGCAGAGAATCCCGGGAGCATGCTTTGGTGTTGCCACATGCACGGTTCAGACATTCTTGAGCTTCCCCAAGTCTTCCTGACGCCGGATCACAGGGTCCCAGAGCCTGCCCGGTCTTGTTCTGCCTCTGGGACTCACAGACCCTCGTGGTTGAGTTTGTTAAAGATGCTGTCAATCCCCTTAAACCGGAACTGAACAACTTTGCTTGCACCCCTGTGAGCACCTTATAAGGTCCCCAGTTTCTGCTGAGATGTCTGATCAAGGCAGAGAACCTTCATTTTCCAAAGGGAAAATGTAGGCTCATGGGAATCAAATGATTTGTTTAGGGAAATGGCAACAGAGCTAAAAATTTAGCTGAGCCAGAATTAGAACCTTTGGATCCCAATTATATCTAAAATACAGTCATCGGGAAGACTTCACTCTTAAATAAAACATTCCTTTAATAAAATACTGCACATAGACATTTTTTCTTCTTAAAGATTTATGACCAGGATGTTTGGTGTTAATTATAACGTATGCTGGTACTATATAATTAGTAGCAAAAACAAAGCTTCTCAAATAAATAGGCTTCAGCTTTTTTGTTTTGTTTTGTTTTTTTGAGGACATGTTCTGCAAACCAGCCGAAATGGGAGAAGGAGGAAAAGGACTAGACTTTTCTGCGCCAACAGGCTCTCAGTGGACATGAGCGATAGAAAGGAGTCATGTGTACCCTCCAGGAATCAGCAGTAACATTGGAGTGACCTGCTGGCCAGAGGAACCCTGACCCTTCTCTTTGCCCCTCTGCCTGGGTGTCAGAGCTCCCATCAGCCCCACAGAAGCCCCACCCACGAGGCATCCGAGGACCCAGGAGGAAGGTGGAAAATCCTCGGGAAACCAGAGCTGGGCTAGGGAGGAAGATCAAATGTGATAGAGGGGAAACCCATTCCACCTGAATGTTCTGACCGAGAACAAGTTCTAGGTCACTGCCGCCATCCAGAAAGCCAAGACACGACCATGACCACATGGTGTGAGTGGAGTGAAACAACTTAAGTAAGAAAGGGAAAGGGCCCCACTGACCCCTTATTAATTACACTTAGAGTTGGTCCCCCATCATGAATCGTGCCTTTCCTGAAGATTCAAATGCAATCAAAGCCTCTTAGGTATTGTTTGGCATCTAACTTGCATGCTATGGGAGATACTAAAATCTCCTCCTGCCTCTGGCCTTCCTTCCCTTTTGACTCTGCTACTCTTTTTTCTTTCTTTCTTTGATCCATTTGAGCACTGGTAGACAATTCTCCGTTGGACTCCCCCTGTCTGGCTCTACTTGGAAGTTTCGCTTTTGTATACCTGATAGAAGAAGAAGAAGTCTTCAGAGGGGGAAAAAAAAATCCAGAACTGACCCAAGTTTTAGCAGTCAAGGCTCCCTCAAATACCATCTACTAGTTGTTGTGTTTGGTTTTAAAAAAGAAACAGCACCCAATATCATTGGAATTGCCAGCAAGACAGGAGCACCTGAGCTGACCAGCCCCTCTGGCCCCAGAACAGGTGGCAGAGACCCTCACCCCCCTCCATTCCTGGCACAAGTCATTGCCTTTCAATACTGAAAACGGCATGTCCTTTACAAAGACTTCTTTCCTGGCTGGCCCAGGACCCGGCTGAGGCAGTAGGGGACGAGACTGGCGGCCATCAGGGGCACCGCCGCACTTTTGCAGAAGGACAGGCCGTAGAAGAGCAGCTCGATTTGGGAGGGGGGTCTCAACGAGTCGAAGAAGTGCAGGAAGACCAGGGAGGCCAGGATGCAGCCGAGGCGGAAGGGGAGCCACCTGCCCAGCTGGCCCCTGCAGCTCGCTCGGTACATCGCGGAGTTGAGAGCCAGCCCCAGGCCGAAGAGGGTGCCCAGGTTCCTGAAGAGGCTGGCAAAGGGTGTGCTGTCAATCAGGACCCATTCGGGGCGTTCACACCAGCGCTTGGCTTTCTCCAGCGTCCACAGCAGGTCCACATCCAGCCCCTTCAGCACCAAGTAAAACCCGATGGCGACGCTGAACAGGAAGCAGGTGACGAGAGAGTACTTCTTGAGACTGGTGTTGTAGATGCGCTGGGTGCGGCAGAAAGCTTCAGCCACAGCAATGCCTGTGTGGGGAAAAGACCGGCCGGTCAGGCTGTGGCTTTAGCTGGCGGGGGGTGGGGGATGCCGGTGATGGAGGGCTGCCATGCCATCGGTCTTGACGTTGTGGAATTACGTCACAGCTGCCCTGGAATCTGGATAGAAAAGTTATGTCTTGTCCCTTCCAATGACCTGTGGGGGTGGGAGAGCCTCCTGTCCCTCCTTGAAGACCCCCTCGAGGCCGGGGGGACTTATGTGCACTGGGTAGCCCAGGTCATCTTGAAGGGGATTTTATGGTGTCAAACGTCTTTCTTAGGCTGAGCTCAGATTGGTCTCCCTCATAACTCGTATGCCATCTGCTGTTTTCAGTTCTTTCTGCAAAGCAACCCCCCCCCAAAAAAAAACAACCCCAAACTCACTGCCGTTGGGTGGATTTCAACCCACAGCAATGCTATAGGACAGCAGTTGCCCCGGTGGGTTTCTGAGACTCAATCTTTCTGGGAGTGGGAAGCTTCATTTTCCTGCCTCCGAGTGGCTAGCAGTTTCGATCTGCTGACCTTGTGGTTCGCAGCCCAACGGGTCACCCCCTATGCCATGAGGGCTCCTCTGTTCCCTCTTCAGGAGTGAGTGTATTGTAAACGTAGTGCCCCCGGGCATATTTGAAAATAATTATTCTCTTGTCTAGTCTAAACCTTAGGTCTCCCACATGACACAGCTTGTAGCTTCTCCCCAGCGCCCACCAAACCACTTGCCATCAAGTCCGCTCCAGCTCACAGTGACGCTGGGAGACAAACTAAAGCGGTGGCAGAGCATTTACAAAGCTGTCATCTTTATGGAAGCAGACTGCCGCATCTCCCTCCTGTGTGGCTTTGAACTGCTGACCTTGCAGCTGGCAGCTGGATGCTTGACCGCTGGGCCGCTAGGGCCCCTTCTCAAACACACAGCCCGAGACGAAGTGCAGTCTTCCTTTCAGGGGCGCTTGCTTTCAGGAGACCACTCTCCCCCCTGTTCTCTGTTCTTCCTGTCTCTGGGAAAAGGGAGCCCGCCACGTCCCCAAGCCAGGGGGCTTCAAAAAGTTCTTAAACGATGGAGTTGAAAGGTAATGGAATGCTTCTACGAAGTTGTTGAAGCCCCTTCAGATTGCAATGGAACCCACAAGACCAGGACATTCTTTCTTATACTGAGCCCAAATCTTTTCTGCTCCTCAGACAACACGGGCATTCAAGCCCTGAGCAAGAGACCAGCCCTCGGCACCTACTAGGTTTGCCAGTGACTGTGCTCCCTGCGACAGTGCTCTCTGCCACGTTGGTCCTGCAGAGGCTGGGAAGTGCTGGGAGGGTTCCAGTTACTACAATTGGATAGATTAATTGGGTGCATGACACTTTTCTAGAACACACTTGCATGCGCACCCGGGGACACTTCTGCCGAAGTGAATCATGTGTCTCCCACTCTGGAGACGGGTAGGGAGAAGCTGGGCTGCAAGGGTGGGGAAGGGAGTCGGAGTAGCTGATACCTGACAAGACTCCAGCAACCACCTGGTGGGGGAAATGAGCAGCGAGGAAGATGCGCGACAAACAGACGTTCAGCTGCACGGCCCAGAATCCCAACCACAGAATGACGTTCAAGCACCTGCGACAGGAGAGACGACCATCAGGGGACTTGTTGAACCTTCAGCAGGAAGACGGATACCGGAGCTTGGCAACCTCAGGATCCAGCCCATCTTTTAAAGTAAGCTCGAAAAGCCAAGGCTCAAAGGTAGCCCGTGACTGGATGTGTGAGACCTCACTTATGTGAATGTTATCCATAGTCTATAGATGCTCTCTCTTCATGGAGCCCTGGTGGCGTAGTGGGCTATGGATTTGGCTGCTAACTAGAAGGTCAGCAGTTCAAGCCCATCCACTGCTCCAGGGAAGAAAAAGGAGGCTCTTTGCTCCTGGGGCGATTGACAGCCTTGGAGACCTGCAAGGGTAGTTGTATCCTGTCCCTTAGGGTCACAATGAGTTGGAATCTAAACTTTTTTACAGAGCCATGTTAACCGTTGCTAGCTGAGGTAGTTAGTTTATTGTGCCAGCCTGGCTGATAAACACATCTGGAATAATTGAAGGGTGGAGAGATAAATGGCTCAGTGAGCCTCGCCTTACTTGTCTCTCACTCTTTGATCATCGAACCAGTGTGCGGATGCCTTGCTTGTTCTGTGTCTCAATTTGCAAGCTACACTACCTGTGGGACACCTAACCTGTGGACTGTGTCGCTGTAGTTTGAGGTTCCTTTAAGACCTGCCTCGTCACACAATTGGAATGTACATCTCTTGAGCTGGGGACTGACTGTTGGTGACCTGGCTGACTGTTGGTGACCTGCCTTGCTGGTTGGCTGCCTGTGCCTGGAGAATCTGGATCTCTCTACAGAGGACGACCTGGTGACCCTCAAGACTTGAAGGACTGCCAGTGTCTCACAACTCTAACATGTTTGAATTGTACTGAGCCATTTGTACTGTTTTATAATATAACTGCTTATTTCTTGTGTTATCTACCTATCTGTCTATCTATCTATCTAACTGCTTTATAATTTAACTGTTTATTTCTTGTGTTATCTCTCTCTTTCTCTCTCTCTCTCTCTCTATATATATATATATATATATATATATATATATATATTTATTTATTTGCAATCTGGTTTTGTCTCTCTAGAAAACCCTGTCTAACACACTAGCTAAGGGTTTGCACAGTGGCTGCCTATCCATCATTCCATGTCATCAGAATGTCTCTTGCTTATTTTAAGTCTGGATGGGCAACTCTATGATTGCTACAGAAATGAGCTTTTTATTTAACCCTACCCCTGGTGATGTCGTGGGTGACCCGTTGAGCTGCTAACTGAAATGCCAGCGGTTCGAATCTACCGGGAGCTCCATGGGAGAAAGATGAGGTTTTTCCTCCCATAAGGAGTTCCAGTCTGGGACGCCCACAGGGGCATCTCCACCCTGTCCCGTAGGATCCATAGGAGGCAGATTCAACTGGGAGGCAGTGAGTTGATTTTGATTTGGAGAAACCTAAAACACAAACTCTCCACCCTCAAGCCGATGCCAACTCACAGCTACCCAATCAGAGGGTGGCCCCACAGGGTTTCTGGGGCTGTAAACTTTCCGATGCAGGCCGACACATCTTTCTCCCGCGGGCCAGCTGGTTGTCGTGAACCACCGACCTTTGGCTTAGCAGCCAAGTGCGTTGACCACTGTATGTAGCCCCAGTGCTCTTTTGAGTTTAAAAGTTCCTTCAATCCCTTAGGCCTCGTTTCTTATCTGTTAAATAAGGCTGCACGGATGGGTTCCTTCCAGCCCTAACGTTCTGTGACTCTGATAGTCAGCCTCGACTCTTATCAGTGACCCCCAAGGCACGGGAGTGGGCTGGGGGACTGTGAGGGAGGGCAAGGCTGTGTCAGCTCCAGAGAGCCAATTCACCAGCCACCCCCCCCCCACCCGTGAGCTCTTACCGAAATCTGTAGGTCGGTTTTTTCTTTCCCCGAAAGACAGAGAGGGTGGCTGTGACCATCACGTAGTACACACCTGCAGTGCCCATGGCATGGCCGGAGGGACTCCCTGAAGGGCAGGGAGGAGATGAATGGATGACGGGTGAACAGGGAAAACCTCCGGGAGATTTCCAGAGGGTGTTATCTAGCCACCCT